CATGCTGCTCGTGGTGTGCCGCTGAATAACAACCCATGGGCCAGTTGACAAGAGAGGCCTTACCGAGCTTGCAGCTTGGGCACGTGGGACGTGGCATCGAGGCACAGCAGGTGGTTGAGCCACTTCTCCACGGGGTCCCCCTCGGCATAGCGGATCGGCTCCTGCAGCTCCACCTCCCGCAGCACCCGCACAGTCACCCCACTGCCACTGCCTCTGCCATCCGCGCTTGAAGCAGCACCAGCAGACGTAGCGCCGGCAGCAGCAGCCCCTTTGGACTGTTCTCTCAGCTGCTGGATGAGCTTGAGAGAGAGGGAGCGGCCCGTGCCCTCATACCTGGTGGGTGGGTGGAGGTGGGATAGGGGACGCAGGAGATCGGGAGGACTTGAGTCGACTCAAGAGTGTCACCTCGGCTCCTGCAGCTCCACCTCCCGCAACACCCGCACTGACACCCCACTGCCACTGCCATCCCAGTGTGAGGCAGCACCGCCAGAAGTGGCAGTAGTGCCAGCAGCAGCAGCGCCTTTGGACTGCTCCCTCAGCTGCTGGATGAGCTTCAGAGAGCGGGAGCGGCCGGTGCCCTCATTCCTGGTAGGGGGAGGGGCGAGGGGGGAGACTTGAGTCAGCTCAAGAGTGTGTCACCTTAGCTCGTGCAGCACCACCTCCCATAACACCTGGGCAACAACAACGCCACTGCCGCTGCCATCCGCGCTCGCACCACTACTAGCACTGGCAGCACAACCACCTGCAGCAGTGGCAGGAGCTTGAGGGAGACGGAGTGGTGTTAGGCTTTTGAGAATTCTAAAAAAACTAGCAGCAGCTTGAGGGAGAAGGGGCGGCCTGTGCCTTCGGAACTGGTGGAGGGGTGGAGGTGAGAAGTGAAGATACGGTAGGGGAGGAGGAGGGGTGGAGGTAGGAGAGAGCCTGTACTGTACCATACTCCTTACAAGCTGACCCATAACTATCACATACCCGTTGACTGTAGACCCTATGAACACCAGGTACGGCCCCAGCAGAGCCTTCACAATGGGCAGGGGGATGGCTGCATGCTGCATACCCGTACTCCTTACAAGTAGACCCGTTATAACACATACCCGTTGACTGTAGACCCCATGAACACCAGGTACGGCCCCAGGAGAGCCTTCACCATCGGCAGGGGGATGGCCGCTGCCTCGTCTATCACCAGCAGCTCGGCCTGCTGCACCCTCTCTGCATGCTGGGGCATCACGTACTGTTAGAGCGGGACCAGGGGGTGGGGGGGGGGGCAGCGGGGAAAGGGAGTATTGGTCACTGCGTCATCTATCACCAGCAGCTCGGCTTTTGAAGCGCCTCAAAAAATCATCTATCACCAGCAGCTCGGCTTTTGAAGCGCCTAAAAAAATCATCTATCACCAGCAGCTCGGCTTTTGAGGCGCCTCAAAAATCATCTATCACCAGCAGCTCGGCTTGTTGGAACAAGGAACCTCTCTGCATGCTGTGGCATCACGTACTGAAGGGGGCGGGTGGGGGGAGTGAGCAGAGGAACGTGAGGTACAAAAAAGCAGAGGCTTGACCAGTAGGGAGTGCCTCGGCTTTGTAATGTAGGGCGCCTAACCCCACGATCGCCCGGTTGAAAACCGTGTTGGTGCCCTCGGCCAGCTCGCAGTCGATGTGCTCCCCATGCTGATGCCCCATGCACTCACATCGATGACTGATGCCATCGGGTGCTCCTTGCTCCCGATGGCATCAGTCACACTCCCCATGCCCTCACTCACCGGGATGGTCTGCCTGTGCTGGTGAAACACGTTGACCCGAACAATAGCTCGGTTGAAGGCAGGGTTGGTGCTCTCCATGAGCTCGTAGTCGATCTGCTCCTTGTACCCCCCAGCGTCAGTCACACCCCCCATACTCTCACCTGGATGGTCTGCCTGTGCTGGTGAAACACGTTGACCCGAACAATGGCTTGGTTGAATGCCGGGTTGGTGCTCTCGACCAGCTCGTAGTCGATGTGCTCCTTGTACCCCACGGCGTCAAACCCCTTGAACACAAACGCTTCTATATGCTCTCAACTTTCCCCCAATGCCCCCTCCCTCTCTCCCTTCTCCCACCTGGATGGTCTGCCTGTGCTGGTGAAACACATTCACTCGCACTATGGCTCGGTTGAAAGCGACCTGTCATGCTTCCAGGTCAGAGCCTGGCGATACATTTCAAGCTCACCTGAAAGGAGCAACTCTCACCTGGATGGTCTGCCTGTGCTGGTGAAACACATTCACTCGCACTATGGCTCGGTTGAAGGCAGGGTTGGTGCTCTCGACGAGCTCATAGTCGATGTGCTCCTTGTACCCGACAGCATCAAACCCCTTGAACACAAACTCAAAGAGTGTCTTGAGATTCTCGGGGCTCGGGGCCGTGACGAATATGTTGGAGTAGCTGCCAGCGTAGGTCAAGGGGACGGGAGCAAAGGGGAGGAAGGGAGGAAAGGGGTAATATGGAGGAAACTAAAAGTGAGTCCTTATAGTATTGGGGCTCAGAGCCATGGCGAATATGTTGGAGTAGCTGCCAGCATAGGTCAAGGGGACGGGAGCAAAGGGCAAGGGAGGGCAGGCAGGGAAGGGAGGGCAGGGAGGGCAGGGAGGGCAGGGAGGGCAGGGAGGGCAGGGAGGGCAGAGAGGGCAGGGAGGGCAGGGAGGGCAGAGAGGGCAGGCAGGGCAGGGAGGGCAGGCAGGGCAGGCAGGGCAGGCAGGGCAGGGAGCGCAGGCAGGGCAGGGATGGCAGGGAGGGCAGGCAGGGCAAGGATGGAAACAAACAAACTCAAAGAGCGTCTTGAGATTCTTGGGGCTCGGGGCCGTGACGAATATGTTGGAGTAGCTGCAGGGCAGATGGGAAAGAGAAGGACGAAAGGGAATGGGGGCAAAAGTAGCACTGCTTAAGAAAGCATTGAGTTGAGATTCTCGGGGATTGGGGCCGTGACGAATATGTTGGAGTAGCTGCAGGGCAGATGGGAACGTTGGTAGAGGAGGCTGCGGGGCAGGGGGAACAGTGTTGACGAATATGGTGGCGTAGCTGCGGGGCAAGGCATTTGGGAACGGGGGAAGTGAGGGAGGCAATTTGCCGAATATGGAGAAGCTGCAGCTTGGCACGCCACTCAATTCTAGCCAACCACCCCCCTCACCCCAACCACCCCACTCACCCCAACCAACCCACTCACAACCACCCCACTCACCCAGGGGCACAGCACCAGCCATGGCAACGCCCAGAGCCGCTAATTTCCTTCTGCCTCTGGCTGCAGCGATGGCATCCACCCACTCACTCCCACAGACCAGTATCTCTCTAGCCTAAGGTGATTCTTGAGTCGACTCAAAAATCACCAACCCAAACCACCCCACTCACCCCAAAGCCAGCCACAGCCACGCCCAGAGCCGCGGATCTGTCTCTGCCTCTGGTGGCAGTGATGGCAACGGCGGACCGCAGGGTCTTCTCCGACACGGCATCGAGGAACGTGACCGCATATCCAACCCACCACTCTACCACGCCACACCACTCAGCCCAAGCAACCCACATACCCCAGCCACCCCATTCGCCCCAGCAACCCCACTCACCCCAGCGCCACAGCACCGGCCACAGCCACGCCCAGAGCTGCAGATTTCCCCCGCCCTCTGGCGGCAGTGATGGCAACGGTGGACCGCAGGGTCTTCTCCGACACGGCATCAAGGAACGTCACCACCGCCTTTGCTTGGTCGAGCGTGCGACACGTTGCTACTAGGGCGCCCACTGGCTGCGTGTCCGCTAGAGATTCCTTCAACTCGCGCAGCTCTCTGTCGGATTCTGACTCCACGGTTTCGCCCTGAAGGAAATATTGGGGGCGCAGGTGGGGTGTGGGTGGGTGGGTGGTACAGGGAAAGGGAAGGGAAGGGAAGGGAAGGGAAGGGAAGGGGTGCAACGGTGGACCGGAGGGTCTTCTCCGACACGGCATCCAGGAACGTGGCCATGGCCTTGGCCTTGGCCTTGGCTTGGCCGAGCGTGCGACACGTTGCTTGCTACTAGCGCCCCCACGGGCTGCGTGTCGGCCAATCCATCCGTTCCTTCCCTGCCTCTGTTTTTGAGGCGCCTCAAAAATAAAATCCAATCCCTCCGTTCCTTCCCTGCCTCTGACTCCACTGCCTCGCCCTGAAAGAAAGGAGGGGGGAGGGGTATGTGGATATGTGGGTATGGAGGCACTAGGCGACTAGGGCCCAACCCACGGGCTGCGTGTCGGCCAAAGACTCCTTGAGCCTTCCTCAAGTCTTTGCCTGCGTCTGACTCCACTGCCTCGCCCTGAAGGAGGGGTGAAGGAGGGAGGAGGGGTATGTGGATATGGAGGAACTAGGCCACTAGGGCCCCCACCCACTGGCTGCGTGTTAGCCCTCTTTTAGCTTCCCTCAGTTCTTTGTTGGCTCTTCCCTCTGACTCCACCGTCTCGCCCTGAAGGAGGGCATGAAGGAGAGGGTGAAGGAGGGGGGGGAGGGGGGGCGTAGGTATGTGGGTATGGAGACACGTGGCCACTAGGCCCCTATTGGCTGGGTGCCAGTCAGCCAAGGACTCCTTGCAGATGCCGAATGTGGGAAGACAGAGGCAGGATGTTGAGCTCGTCGTCCAACACACAGCAGGTGGGGCAGGAGGCTCTCCAGTCTGACTTGAATGTAACACGCACCTCTGTCTGTGGCGTGGGTTGCAGGTGCCGCATGTGCGAGGACAGCGGCAGGATGTTGAGCTCGTCGTCCATCACACAGCAGGTGCGGCAGGAGGCGAGGGAGAGGATAAAGCGCTCGTTGAAGCGCCCCACCACATCCCCGTGCGATTCTGTCCTGTATCTTGCATGCACGTCCTGGTGGGGGTTATGGGAGCACACGTGGGATGGGAGCACACGTGGGATGGGAGCACACGTGGGATGGGAACACAGCAGGTGCGGCAGGAGGCGAGGGAGAGGATGACGCGCTCGTTGAAGCGAAGCGCCCCACCACGTCCCCCTACGATTCTGTCCTGTACCGAGGATGCACGTCCTGGTGGGTTCACAGCACATAAAAGGGTTGAGAGCACAACAAGGGTGGGGAACACGGCAGGAGGCGAGGGAGAGGAGGAAGCGCTCGTTGAAGCGCCCCACCACATTTGAGGCGCCTCAAAAGTCGTCTCTTTATCCGCCCCACCACATCGCCATGTAGTTGCGATCAAGCGCATGCACGTCCTGTAAAGAAGGGGAGGAACGAAAGGAGGGATGGGAGGAGGGATGGGAGGAGGGATGGGAGGAGGGATGGGAGGAGGGATGGGAGGAGGGATGGGAGGAGGGATGGGAGGAGGGATGGGAGGAGGGATGGGAGGAGGGATGGGAGGGGGGATGGTAGGAGGGATGGGAGGAGGGATGGGAGGAGGGATGGGAGGAGGGATGGGAGGGGGGATGGGAGGAGGGATGGGAGGAGGGATGGGAGGAGGCATGGGAGGAGGGATGGGAGGAGGGATGGGAGGGGGGATGGGAGGAGGGACGGGAGGAGGGATGGGAGGGGGGATGGGAGGACGGATGGGAGGACGGATGGGAGGAGGGATGGGAGGGGGGACGGGAGGAGGGATGGGAGGGGGGACGGGAGGAGGGATGGGAGGAGGGATGGGAGGAGGGATGGGAGGGGGGGGGGGGGGGAGGAGGGATGGGAGGAGGGATGGGAGGAGGGATGGGAGGAGGGATGGGAGGAGGGATGGGAGGAGGGATGGGAGGAGGGATGGGAGGAGGGATGGGAGGAGGGATGGGAGGAGGGATGGGAGGAGGGATGGGAGGAGGGATGGGAGGAGGGATGGGAGGAGGGATGGGAGGAGGGATGGGAGGAGGGATGGGAGGAGGGATGGGAGGAGGGATGGGAGGAGGGATGGGAGGAGGGATGGGAGGAGGGATGGGAGGAGGGATGGGAGGAGGGATGGGAGGAGGGATGGGAGGAGGGATGGGAGGAGGGATGGGAGGAGGGATGGGAGGAGGGATGGGAGGAGGGATGGGAGGAGGGATGGGAGGAGGGATGGGAGGGGGATGGGAGGAGGGACGGGAGGAGGGATGGGAGGAGGGATGGGAGGAGGGATGGGAGGAGGGATGGGAGGAGGGATGGGAGGAGGGATGGGAGGGGGGATGGGAGGAGGGATGGGAGGGGGGATGGGAGGAGGCATGGGAGGAGGCATGGGAGGAGGCATGGGAGGAGGGATGGGAGGAGGGATGGGAGGAGGGATGGGAGGAGGGATGGGAGGAGGGATGGGAGGGGGGATGGCAAAAGATGAGGATAGAAGCGCTGGGCGGCCGTGGTTGGAACCAGAAGTGAGCAAATGGTTGTGGAAGTTGAGGAAGTTGAGGAGGTTGTGGGGTGTGAACGCTGTGATAAGGGAAATGAGGGAGTGGGCAAAGGAGTGACAAGGGAGGGAGAGGCAAGGGAAGGAGAGGCAAGGGAGGGAGAGGCAAGGGAGGGAGAGGCAAGGGAGGGAGAGGCAAGGGAGGGAGAGGCAAGGGAGGGAGAGACCGTACCATGGCGAGAGTGAAGAGGCGGGAGAGGGAGGTGAGGGACGACAGCAGCAGCACGATGATCCCACCCCCCTCCACCGTCTCTATCGTGCGCGCCAGCAAGTTGGGAGTCAGAGCCTCGAAATCCTGCGTTTTGCGAGAAGGGAGAGCGACATATGTGAATGAATGAAAACGAGGAGAGCCGCAGTAGCACAACTACCCCAACCGAACCCCCCTCCATCGCTTCGATCATGCGCGCCAGCAGTCTATTTTTTAGGCGCCTCAAAAATGGAAGAGAGGGCTTCGATCATGGGCGCCAGCAGGATGGAAGATAGGGCTTCAACAGGGTTTTAGGGGTTGCGTTGGGGGTTGCAAACACACGAGGAGTTTGCACATGGGGTGCACGCATTGAGTAGCACCATACCTGCAGCACGCACATGCCGAATGTGTTCCCCAGTATCTTGTGCGTCTCGGCGTAGTAGCAGTAGCGGATGGCCGTGGACGCCAGGAAGAGCGCAAAGGGGTCCTCCTTCTCGGGGTCCAGCAGCCCCCGCTGCATCATCTTCTTCATCTGCCTCATCCTCTTTTTCCGATTGCTGGGGTTGAAGGAAGGGGGGAGATATTGCAAGGGAAGTGGGGGAAAGGGTTTGGTAACAGAGATAGTCGGTCCAGCAGCCCCCGCTGCATCATCTTCTTCCTCTGCCGCATGCGCTTCATCCAGGGTTGCTGGGGGAAGGTAGCAGCGAGCAGGGAGGTCGAAGATCATATTTTCCCGCACTCAAATCATGAGAAGCCCACAAAACCCAAACCCCTTCAAGGTTTGATCGGCATAAAGCACAAGATCGATAAAACCCAAACCCCTTTTACAGATCTTGTGCTTTATAGTTCCATAAAGCACAAGATCCAACCCCGCGCAATCCATAAAAGGAGCAGCCGATAAGGGAAGGGGCCCTCATGTGGCACCGCGGGACGTGTGGGGCTATGCGACCCGAAACCTCAACCCCTTACAGATCGTACAAGCAAAACCCTGTACCCCGTGCAGCGTGCCTTATTGAGGAAGAGGCATTCTTGTAGCACCACAGGACGTTAAGACCCGCTGAACCCTCAGCCCCGTGAACCCTAAACCCGCATAAACCCTGAAACCCCCTTCTCACATCCCAACCAGATCAAGACCTGCGCAGGAGAAGATCCTTCGGATCGAATTACCATACCTGCTGAGAAAGGAAGAGATCCTTCTTGTAGCACCAGAGAACATCGGAGCGCGAAGCACCCTCAACCCCGTGATAGCTACAGTAGCATAAACTCTATCCCAACCTGCTTTCGTCCACGTCAGTACCTGCTGAGAAAGAGATCCTTCTTATAGCACCAGAGGACATTGGGGCGCGAAGAGCCCTCCACCTCGTGACAGCCATGGAGGCATAAACCCTAATCCCCCCCTTGCTGTCGTCTCATCCACACCCGTACCTGCTGAGAAAGAGATCCTTCTTGTAGCACCAGAGCACGTTCGGCCGTGCCTTCACCACCGCCTTGGAAAGCATGTAGTGGAGATTCACCACCTGGTACAGTGACATCGGGTTACAATACAGTTGGGTTGCAATAGCGTTGGGTTACAGTCACATCCAAATGCGTCTTAAGAAAGGATGCGTTGTTGGCTCAGGGTTTTAAAGCTCCTAAAAAAAGCGGGTCAGATTAACGACACAATCTCACTCCCCTTATAAGCTTCATTTCCATCTGGGGAACTGCACAAATGCGAAAAGTATAACGAGTCGATCCGATCTTTAAAAGGCCGCACCTGCTCTCGTCCCTTGTCCCCCACGATGACGAACATGAACCGCTGCCGCGACTTGACGATGTGACTTTTGAGTCGACTCAAAAGTCACCACGTTTAACGAGTATTCTAGACTCAAAATACCGCACCTGCTCTCGCCCCTTGTCCCCCACGATGACGAACATGGACCGCTGCCGCGACTTGACGCCATTCTCGACGAGGGTTCGAATCCTCGCATCCACCTTTTTCCGCATCGCGACACTCGTCCGTTCAACACCCTGGATAAGCCTTACGAATCAGCTCCTGAATAAATCTCTACAAATCAGTCCTAGGTGGCCGTAAAAACGGACAATTGGTCTAAGCCGCGGAAAAAAGGTAGCGCCCGCTTCCAGTTGACGCTTCCAGTTGACGACACTGTCCGTGACGAAACCGCTGAGCCCTAAGACTGAGGTCCTGTCTTGAAAACCAGCTCGCTGGTTTGCTACAGGTTTCCTTGACCTAACAATGCGGCATTACGAGCGCCTCTCCCCTCCTGCAGCCCAGCCCCCTCACGAGTGCGCTTCTATTTACTCGTCGTTCCTCTCAGTGCTCTGGTTTCTGCGACTTCACTGCTATGGCGGTCTGCTGAGAGTTCTTCCTGTAAGCCAAGCGAAAACCCCACACACCGAAATTGCCCCACAGAATGTAAGGAAATTCCCTTTTCCTTACTGGGCTCGACTACAGCGCGTACGCCCTCACTCTCGGAAGTCCAGGCTCGGCCAACTTCTTCGGTCCCGAACCATTTCGCGAACCCAAACCTCGACGCGCAGCGCTTCCGTGGCTTTCGCCAAACGACTCGCTCCAACCTGTTCGCGTCGTTCTCGGCTAGCTCTGTTCGTGCCTATAAATGCCTAGGCCCTCATTTGTATCGACACTCTTGAATCACGGCTCCTTTATTATACTACCTGTTATTACTCTGATTAATTCATAACACAGAACGTGTGCAGTACAGCATTGCGAGTGCAGAACAAGTGGGTGCTGAGAACAGTGCTTGAGGTTTTGCGGTTTGAGTGTAGATGCGTGGCTAAAACCTGAAACTGAACAGGAACTCCTTCTAGCCCTTCAACATATTTATAAGTTTATTTACCATGAGTTCACAGGTGTTACGTGTTGGAAACAGAAAACGATACATGCTCCTTACTCGGATTACCACATTCGAGTACCCCAACAGACACCTCATTTCTCATGCATAAACGATTGTTTACCATACTACTTGTTGACGTGTTGCGATGTACCTCGTCCTAGAGTACTCCACATCCTCTCACCCCACCACCACCACCTACACAATCTGCTGTGGCAATAACACCACCCCGCACCTGCGGTCTTCCCACACGTCCATCCCTCTGACTCCCCTGGTGTTTTGATTGAGCCAGAGTCTGCTGTGCCCATTTCTTGCTTGTGAGTTGAGGCGTCTTGCATTGTTACCACACATCTCGCGGTGTTCTGCTAGGGCTGGAATCTGCAGTCCCCCACCCTTGCTGCATCTTGTTCCCATCATACACCGCCAGCCCCACGCTCGGAATCTCATCCGGAGCCTCCTTCACCCACGCGTATGTCCCCTTTTCAAACATCCTCACTATCTGCTCCAGGCTCTTGCCCCTCGTCTCCGGCGCGAAAAAGTAGAAGAACACAAACCCAACGACCCCCACACCTGCAAACATGAAAAACGGCCCAGCAGGACTCCCAGTCGCGTCCGCCAGGCTCAGAAACGTCATCGCAACCACTCCCGACGCGATCCTATTCACCGCTGTGCCAATCCCGGTCGCTTGTGCTCGGAGTCTCAGTGGGAAGATCTCTGAGGTGTAGAGCCAATTGATGGGGCCGATGCCGATGGAGAAGAAGGCCACGTACACGCAGATGCCTGTGAATGCCACGATGGCTGCAGCTGGGACGCCCGTGGTGGCCGTGGTGTCCATGTCGATGTCGGCAATGGTTGGCAGCTTGAGGAACGCCAGCGCTTGAGTGAGGAGCGCAGCGGTCATGCCTGGGGGGATGGGGATGGGGTGTTGGAAGGGGGATGGGGGATGGGGAAGAAGGGAGCAGGTATAGAGCCAGTTGATTGATGGGCCAGAGCCGATATGGAAGAATCCCTCCCTGTGCACGCAGATGCCTGTGAATGCCACGATGGCTGCAGCTGGGATGCCAGTGGTGGCGATGTCGGCGATGGTTGGGAGCTTGAGGAAGGCCAGAGCTTGAGTTATAAGAGCAGCGGTCATGCCTGGGGGGATGGGGATGGGGTGTTGAGTCAGAAGCGCGGCAGTCATGCCTGCACGGATGGGGGAAGGGTATTGGGGAGATGCGGGTGATGTGAGGCGTTTAGAAAAAACGGTTGGAAGGTTGAGGAAGGCCAGGGCTTGAGTGAGGAGAGCAGTGGACATGCCTGGAGGATGGAAATAGAACTGCAGGAAGTTGTGGTTGGGAGCTTGAGGAAGGCCAGGGCTTGAGTCAGAAGTGCAGCGTGCAACCTTCATCTACACCCCTAGATAACCCAATTTGGTTATAATACCCAAGTATGAAGAACCATGTAGGATAAAGAGAATGTTATATTTTAACACAGCGGTCATGCCTGGAGGAACGGGGGTGGGGTATTGGGGAGACACAGGTGATGTGAAGCGTTTAGACAGATGATTGGGAACTTGAGAAAGGCCAGAGTTAGAAGCGCAGTGGTCACGCCTGCAGGGATGGGGTTGGGGTATTGGGGAGATGGGTGGGAGAAGATTTCTGAGGCGCCTAAAGAATCAGGAAAGGGAATGGGGTGTTGGGGAGGTGGGTGGGAGGAGATATGAGGCACCAATCCCCACCACCAACACTGACCTGCTGTGGAGACGAGAAGCAGTGGCCGCCGCCCAAAGTTATCCAGAAGACACGTGGCAATGCCAACGAAAGACACCTTGATCACCCCCATCAGCAGCGTCGCTCCTAGCAGCGCCCGTCTCGACGTGATCCCCGCATCCCTCAGCACCACTGGGGAGTAATACACCGTCGCGTCAATCCCTATAGCCTGCTGCAGGAAATTCGTTCCTATGCACACCAGGAGCATTCTTCCCACGGCCGGAGTCGGCCATAGAAGCTCCTTCCACACCCCCTTCCCTCCTGCTCCGTCCATCGGCCTTATAACGTGTATTTCTTGCTCCTCCTCGTCCACATATTCGGTCTCCTCCCCACGCCCGTCACCGGATCCTCCTAGCCGTTCGCGAGAATTGCTTCTGCCCCGGGCAGCTGGGGAAAAATCTGCTCCTGCTGCCGGCCCTTTGCCGACGATTTCTTCTTTCAGCCCAGCTGCGTCCAGAATTTCCAGGAACCTTTCATGGGCTTCTTCATGGCTGTCTGATATGGTGAGCAGAATATCCTTAGCCTTTTTCACCTGCCCGTGCATGATCAGCCAGCGAGGGGATTCGGGGAGGCACAAAACTCCTGCTGCGAGAATAAAACCCGGAACGGCCCCGAGCCCCAGCATCCATCGCCAGGCGGAATCCACGGGCAGCCCGGAAAGAAGAAATGAGGTCAAGAAGCCGATTACTATGCCAATGTTGATAAAAAGCTCTCCGAAAGAAACCAGCCCGCCACGCTGACCGGGGGGAGAAATTTCCGAGATGAACAGAGGAGGGAGGGCCAGACCGAAACCGACGCCAATGCCGGTAATGAGACGGCCTATAAGGAGGATAGCGTAGGTCGGTGCTAGCGCCATGCATAAAGCCCCGGCTATAAAGATCGACGCGGCTGTTCCCATGGCGAATCTACGGCCGGCGAAATCCGCGAGTCTACCGGCTGATAGCGCACCAACGAGGGAGACTATATTGAGGATGCCGACGAAGATCTCCTGCTGCACGTGCGAGAGGTCGAAATCCTCCGCCACGAAGATGAGGGCCCCGCTGGTAACGCCAATGTCTGCATGCCACGTGGCGAGAGGGAGGACGAGACGAAGTACAAGGAATTCAAATGACACGACGTGACGCTATAAGTCGTGATGACATGGGATAGGGAATTTAGCACCAAGGCTGAAAGCGGACTCTAGCACCAACAGGGGAGGCACGGCTAGACGGGATAGGGAATGCAGCACCACGGTTGAAAGCGGACTGTAGCGCCAGCAGAGGAGGCACGGCTAGACGGGATGGGGAATGTAGCACCCCGGCTGAAAGCGGCAAATCAAGCAGGAAAAGGAACCATGGGAGTGACCTAGGATTCCGTTCCGCAGTCGTCATAGCGGAACAAGCTGGCATGTGCTCCACGTTTCATCGGAAGGCTCTCAGCTATTGCGTACCATATCCGAGGAGAGCCGACGATATCGATGCGAGAAGCGAGACCGAGAGCACGTACGGTTTGACCGAGCCCCAGCCACCCCCGCGACCGTCGCTATTTGAGTTTAGAGTCGATTCACTAATGCTCTTTGTATCGCGTACCATATCCGAGGAGAGCCGACGATATCGATGCCAGAAGGGAGACCGACAGCACGTAGGGCTTGACCGAGCCCCAGCCACCCCCGCGACCGTTGCTATAATTGAATTTTGAGTTGACTCACTAATGCTCTTGCTGTGGCGTAAAATATTCTAGGAGAGCAAAGCCGATTGCATTCTTCAATCCTCATGAGACTCTCTCAGCGTACCATATCCGAGGAGAGCCGAAGAGATCGATGCGAGGAGCGAGACCGAGAGCACGTACGGCTTGACCGAGCCCCAGCCACCCCCGCGACCGTTGCTATCCCCGCCGTCATTCGCGGGCCTCGTCTTCCCGTCCCGTGCAGGGCTAGCCGGCGGGCTTCGCTCGTTAACCGAAAAGTACGACGATCCTGAGCCATTGACTGCGGTGCTCGCATTTGATTGGCTGTTAGTGGTGGGATGGCCGGCAGGAGGATCGGATCCTGACCGTTCATCTGTTTCGCCGCTCGTCATGATTGCAGCACGTGACCTAGATGTTACCCGATAACAGGTTGATCAAGCGTCCGGAAAACCTAGAACTCGCCGAATTCTCTCTTATAACCTTCAGCCTCTCATCTTAGTAACGAGGACATTGCATAGGGAGAGACTGCTAGGGAGCGCATGCGAGCAGCAAGATTTCGGAACCCCAATCTCTCTGGCTTATCCAAGACTTCCAACCCCCAGCAGTTCCAAACTGGATAAGACGTTGTGGGGAGAGAGCAAGAAGCCGAGAACACACGGAGCTCGGAAGTCAGTCAGTCAGCCATGGTACAATAATGGTGGCCAGCTTCAAGAAATCGAGGAATTGGAGAAAACGGGGAAACAGGAGAAATCTGGGAATCGGCAAAAATGGGGGAGACCTAGGAATTGGCGGAGAAGCTCTTGCTCGATGGCGGAGTTGGCTTGGGGGAATCCGGGGTCGGCGAAGTGCTCAAGGAATCGGAGGAATCGAGGTCTGGGAGAGGAGGAGGGGGGGTGGCGTGCGCAGGAAAGAGGGAGTGATGGGGAGGATGAGGGGTGGGCTGGGGGAAGGCTGGGGAGGGGCCGGCAGCAGGCTTGCGGAATGGCGGAAATCGGGAGGTGGCTGGGTGGGGAGGAAATGGGCTGCGCGGGGGGCGCTGTAGGAAGCCAGTGCCCGGGGAAGGAACGAGGGGGAGAATTTCGCGAACAGCTACGAGCGTCGCAATATAGGCCGATGCGAAAGTCAGTCAGTCAATCTTCATTTGAGTAACCAACACCTATCTCCAAGATCTAGGGAAGAAGAGATAGCGTCAGCCAACCAATCAGCACACTCCTGCCAATGGGGCAGTCACTTGGCAAGCGGTCGCATAACGCGTTGCGAACTTGCGATGCAAAGGCAGCAGCAATGTCGCCGCACTTGACGGCCATTCAGGTGATAATTGAGTCCGTTATAACATCTCGGGCAGATCAAACAAGACTACACAAAAAAACTATCAACAAGACTTTAAGTGAGAATGAGCTTTACACAGGAAAAACAGCCCTAAAACAATTCCTATGTGCTCTCTTCACCATTCTTTGGCATCTCCTTGCATCGCTTTTGTCCACTAACCCGCCTACACAGGCGAACGGCCCCGTCTGCTTGCCTCTCCACCTCACAGATGCATCCCGGAAAGGGGTTCGCGTAGAAGTTTTCCTCTAGCTTGGGATTCTCGCCAACCTGGCGCAAGTGAGGAGCGCCCAATCCCTGTTTGTGTGCTTGCCTGATAAGCCTCCGGAAGGCCTTCCATCTGATTTGGCGCGACTTCAATTGGTCAATATACCGAATGATGGCCTCCCTGCAACATAGGCATAGAAAAGAAAAGGAATGTGGATGGGGGGAAGGAAGTAGAGAAAAAAAGAACCATTCTTGCACTTCTTCCTTACTTCCCTGATACGGTACAACCCACTGATACAGAATCTCTAACCGCTACAGAGCAATCCACTGTAACAGTGACTTCCTCACCTGTCCGGAATGTCGGACTTTCTACGGCCCTCGAACATCCCATGTCATGTTGCCCTCGTACGTGCACATTGCTCTCCACCGCCACACTGTCCCTCTCACCTGTCCGGAATGACGGACTTTCTACGGCCCTCGAACATCCCATGTCATGTTGCCCTCGTACGTGTACACAAACACATTGCTCTCCACCGCCACACTGTCCCTCTCACCTGTCCGGAATGACGGTCTTCCTATGCCCCTCAAACCGCCTGTGCCCCTGAACAGCCCGCGCCATGTTGCCCTCATACGTGTACACAAACACGTCGCTCTCCACCGCCACAGTGTAGTCAACCGCTGCCAGCCGGTTCTGGTATGCGCCTAGGCTCGCCAGCTCGTCAGGTGTAGCCAAGGTGCTGTGCGTGTACGTGTGCGGATACAGGCGAGTCAGGTCCTGGTGGCAGGGACGGTGAGGGATGAGTGAGAAAGCAGAGGGAAAACAGTAATTGAGAAAGGGAGAGAGTGAAATGGGGGAAGATACAGCGTAGTCCACTGCTCGCAAACTACTCAGCTGCTGCCAGCCGGTTCTGGTACGCCTATGCTCCTCTGCTGGTGCCTGCCAGCGTGCGGTGTGTGTATGTGTGCAAGTAAACCAGCTCACCTCGAGCCCATTGGAGCCGTAGATGTCCCCAGCAGCCACATAGATGAGCGTCTTGTTCGGATACCCCATAGCCCGCAGAAACAGCGCCGTCTCGCGGGGGGTGAGCGGGCACGCCCCCTCGGTTCTGCGCGCCTCCCCATCGATCTCCTTCTCCTTCCACCGCGAGTTGTTGAGCCGCATGGCCTTTAGCTCCTCCCTCTCGCGCTCTCCCAGCCCGTGGTCGCACCCAGTGAAGGCCAGCATGTCTTTCTCGTATCTGGATGGAAGGGGGGGAGAAGAGAAGCCGAAAATCTGATGCCTTCTGCTGCCTACAGTCCGTGGTCGCACCCAGTGAAGGCCAGCATGCCCTTCTTGTATCTGGATCGTATTTGGATGGTGAAAGGGGAGAGAGTAAGGAAGGGACGAGGGAGCAGAGAAGGGGAGTGGGAGACGGGGGTCGATCTCCTTCTCCTTCCACCGTGAGATGTTGAGCCGCATGTAGTTTTGAGGAGCCTCAAAACTAGACTTCCACCGTGAGATGTTGAGCTGCATGGCCTTCATCTCCTCCCGCTCTTCTGCCTGCAGCCCGTGGTTGCATTGCAACCAGTAAAGGCCAGCATGTCCTTCTCATATCTGGATACCAAATGAGGGAGGCAAATGCACGGGGGAAAGGGAATGAGAAGTGCAGGGGAATGTACGCCCCCCTTGCATGCAACCTCGAGATCAGATTCGCTGCAGTCTGCGAGATTGCCAGCGTGTACCGCAGCTATCCGTGGTTGGCAAAAGACAACAGCAACCTCCTCCCACAACCCACCTCAAGAGGACCAGCCCACGAGTGACTCAATGCACCCACCTCAAGTGCAGGGCAATGTATGGCCCCCTTGCATGCAATCTCGAGATCAGATTCGCTGCGATCTGCGAGATCGCGGGCGTGTATCGCAGCGACCGGTAGTTGGCGCGGCACCGCAGCCGTTGGATCGAGTCCGGAACCCCGTTGTTGGCGAGACGCGAGTCAGTGAGAGGGAAGCGCATCACCCGGTGCTTCTTGACTCTGGGCAGCAGATCCTCCCGGTAGTAGGAGAACTGGGGGGCGTGAAGGGAAAGACAGTAAGGGGAGTGGGATGTTGGCGAGACGCAAGTTTGTGAGACGAAAGCGCATCACTCGGTGCTTCTTCATTTGAAGCAACAGCTCTCCACTCAACGTAAGTAGGAGAGCTGGGGAGGGAAGAGTGGGGAAGGGAGGGCTGGACTGAGTCAGCATGCCAGGATGCCGGCATATTCAGAGACCATGCACACAATGGCAAACCATGAGAAAACCCTGACAGAACATAGCAGGGTGTTTCTGAGAATTCTCAAAAACACCTGCAAAACCACGTGACTGAGAGCCTCAGTCACCTAGAGAACGAGCATGAGAATTCTCAAAAACACCTGCAAAACCACGTGACTGAGAGCCTCAGTCACCTAGTGAACGAGCATGAGAATCCTCAAAAACACCTGCAAAACCACGTGACTGAGAGCCTCAGTCACCTAGAGAACGAGCATACACGCGAACAGGAAACAGGGAGCTTTCAGGGGGCTCGAATGATCTGCACAAAAGGGCATGGCATACCACTAACAAAGGCCCATGATGAGCCAACGATGAAGGAAAGAGTACTGGTGACCAGGAGACAGGGACACGGCTTACCAGCAGCCAGGAGATGTTTGAGTCAACAAAAAAGTTAAGCCGTGTACTCAGACAAGTCAACAACTTCTCGGCCGTGTATTCACCGCGTCCTCAGAAGACGCGGGCACAGCTCACCGGCGGCGAGGAGTCGGGGAACTTCTCGAGAGGCTGGATGTGCTCCACTCGCTTGGGCCATGCAACAAGGGGCTGAGGGACCATGGGTCTACCATGGCATGCCATAGGCAAGCGAGCGTACCGGCGACCAGGAGACTGGGAACTTCTCCAGAGGCTGGATGTGCTCCACTCGCTTGGGCAGCTGGCGCACGATTCGGATGTCCTTTTTTAAAGACGTGATGAAATGGTCCAAGTCGAAGATGTCCTCGAACTCGCTGGGAGGAGGACGGGAGGGGGGTGGGGCGGGGGAAGTGTGGAGCGTTGGAGAGGGGTCAAAAGGGGCACAAAGAAGGGGCCACAATGAAGGTCCTGATGTCTTTCTGTAGAGACGTGATGAAGTGGTCCAAGTCAAAGATATCCTCACTCGCTGGGAAGCGGGGGAAGGGCGGGCAGGGGTGGGGTTGGGTGGGGGGAGCGCAGGAGAGGGGCACATGAAGGGTCCAAGCCGATTACATCTTCCTTTTTGAGACATCTCCTCGAACTCACTGCATGGAGACAAGCACACAGGGGAAGGACAAGGGGAGCGAAAGATGTATTTTTTGAGCGAGCTGATAAAGTGGCCCAATCCAAGTCAAATATGTCAAAGACCTGGAGGGGGAAGGGGGGGGGGAGAGGGAGGGAGGCGGGGGGGGGGGAGGGGGAGGCACACAGAGAGGAAGATCAGGCAGCGCAACAACACATCGAGTGGCTAGAGAAGTGCAGACCAGGGGAACAAAAGAGGGGTCAGCGTGAGCGACATGAGAGGAAAGGGAGGAGACGGGGCCAGACGATTTACCTGGGGTCGGCCCAGAGGAGGTGTGATCTAATTCAGGAACGACGAGAGGGAGTGACCTAAGGGAACAGTCGCAAGCGAGGAAGCAGCCGCAAGCAAGGGAGAAACCGCAGGAGAGCAACTGACCTGGGGTCGGCCCAGAAGGAGGTGTGGTCTAGTTCAGGAACGACGAGAGTCACGTTCATAATGCGGGCCACAGCCACCATGTCACAGATCTGGGGGAGGCGGGGGGGTGGGGGGGTGGGGGGAGGAGAGAGAGAGACGGGTGTGGTTGGGTGGGAATGGGGCATACAGAAACCTTCGTAAGTCGGGCCACTGCTGCTAGATATTTCTGAGAGGTGATATCAGTAGCCCCCATCATCACATATATTTTTGAGATGCGCACCTACAAGGGGACCGCACAGAATGAGGGTCGCAAGTGAAGATGGGAGATGGGTACAATGATAGTAGTGAGGATTGAGTCTCGCTAAGGGTGTCCGTAAGGGGTTTCAGATTTTGCTCCGTTCTTAAGATTCCAAGCAACAATTCACAGCAGCTACGATTCAGTTCAGCCCACAAAGCAGCTACTCCTTGGTTTGAAGCCTGGCAAAGCCTGACCTCCTTGGTTTGAAGCCTGACAAAGCCTGACCTCCTTGGTTTGAAGCCTGACAAAGCCTGACCTCCTTGGTTTGAAGCCTGACAAAGCCTGACCTCCTTGGTTTGAAGCCTGACAAAGCCTGACCTCCTTGGTTTGAAGCCTGACAAAGCCTGACCTCCTTGGTTTGAAGCCTGACAAAGCCTGACCTCCTTGGTTTGAAGCCTGACAAAGCCTGACCTCCTTGGTTTGAAGCCTGACAAAGCCTGACCTCCTTGGTTTGAAGCCTGACAAAGCCTGACCTCCTTGGTTTGAAGCCTGACAAAGCCTGACCTCCTTGGTTTGAAGCCTGACAAAGCCTGACCTCCTTGGTTTGAAGCCTGACAAAGCCTGACCTCCTTGGTTTGAAGCCTGACAAAGCCTGACCTCCTTGGTTTGAAGCCTGACAAAGCCTGACCTCCTTGGTTTGAAGCCTGACAAAGCCTGACCTCCTTGGTTTGAAGCCTGACAAAGCCTGACCTCCTTGGTTTGAAGCCTGACAAAGCCTGACCTCCTTGGTTTGAAGCCTGACAAAGCCTGACCTCCTTGGTTTGAAGCCTGACAAAGCCTGACCTCCTTGGTTTGAAGCCTGACAAAGCCTGACCTCCTTGGTTTGAAGCCTGACAAAGCCTGACCTCCTTGGTTTGAAGCCTGACAAAGCCTGACCTCCTTGGTTTGAAGCCTGACAAAGCCTGACCTCCTTGGTTTGAAGCCTGACAAAGCCTGACCTCCTTGGTTTGAAGCCTGACAAAGCCTGACCTCCTTGGTTTGAAGCCTGACAAAGCCTGACCTCCTTGGTTTGAAGCCTGACAAAGCCTGACCTCCTTGGTTTGAAGCCTGACAAAGCCTGACCTCCTTGGTTTGAAGCCTGACAAAGCCTGACCTCCTTGGTTTGAAGCCTGACAAAGCCTGACCTCCTTGGTTTGAAGCCTGACAAGGCCTGACCTCCTTGGTTTGAAGCCTGACAAAGCCTGACCTCCTTGGTTTGAAGCCTGACAAAGCCTGACCTCCTTGGTTTGAAGCCTGACAAAGGCCTGACCTCCTTGGTTTGAAGCCTGACAAAGGCCTGACCTCCTTGGTTTGAAGCCTGACAAAGCCTGACCTCCTTGGTTTGAAGCCTGACAAAGCCTGACCTCCTTGGTTTGAAGCCTGACAAAGCCTGACCTCCTTGGTTTGAAGCCTGACAAAGCCTGACCTCCTTGGTTTGAAGCCTGACAAAGCCTGACCTCCTTGGTTTGAAGCCTGACAAAGCCTGACCTCCTTGGTTTGAAGCCTGACCCTGACCCTGTGAAGCCTGACCTCCTTGGTTTGAAGCCTGACAAAGCCTGACCTCCTTGGTTTGAAGCCTGACAAAGCCTGACCTCCTTGGTTTGAAGCCTGACAAAGCCTGACCTCCTTGGTTTGAAGCCTGACAAAGCCTGACCTCCTTGGTTTGAAGCCTGACAAAGCCTGACCTCCTTGGTTTGAAGCCTGACAAAGCCTGACCTCCTTGGTTTGAAGCCTGACAAAGCCTGACCTCCTTGGTTTGAAGCCTGACAAAGCCTGACCTCCTTGGTTTGAAGCCTGACAAAGCCTGACCTCCTTGGTTTGAAGCCTGACAAAGCCTGACCTCCTTGGTTTGAAGCCTGACAAGGCCTGACCTCCTTGGTTTGAAGCCTGACAAAGCCTGACCTCCTTGGTTTGAAGCCTGACAAAGCCTGACCTCCTTGGTTTGAAGCCTGACAAAGGCCTGACCTCCTTGGTTTGAAGCCTGACAAAGCCTGACCTCCTTGGTTTGAAGCCTGACAAAGCCTGACCTCCTTGGTTTGAAGCCTGACAAAGCCACCGGAGCCTGAAACCTCCTCCTTGGTTTGAAGCCTGACAAGGCCTGACCTCCTTGGTTTGAAGCCTGACAAGCCTGACCTCCTTGGTTTGAAGCCTGACAAGCCTGACCTCCTTGGTTTGAAGCCTGACAAAGCCTGACCTCCTTGGTTTGAAGCCTGACAAGGCCTGACCTCCTTGGTTTGAAGCCTGACAAAGCCTGACCTCCTTGGTTTGAAGCCTGACAAAGCCTGACCTCCTTGGTTTGAAGCCTGACAAAGCCTGACCTCCTTGGTTTGAAGCCTGACAAAGCCTGACCTCCTTGGTTTGAAGCCTGACAAAGCCTGACCTCCTTGGTTTGAAGCCTGACAAAGCCTGACCTCCTTGGTTTTGAAGCCTGACAAAGCCTGACCTCCTTGGTTTGAAGCCTGACAAAGCCTGACCTCCTTGGTTTGAAGCCTGACAAAGCCTGACCTCCTTGGTTTGAAGCCTGACAAAGCCTGACCTCCTTGGTTTGAAGCCTGACAAAGCCTGACCTCCTTGGTTTGAAGCCTGACAAGCCTGACCTCCTTGGTTTGAAGCCTGACAAGGCCTGACCTCCTTGGTTTGAAGCCTGACAAGGCCTGACCTCCTTGGTTTGAAGCCTGACAAAGCCTGACCTCCTTGGTTTGAAGCCTGACAAAGCCTGACCTCCTTGGTTTGAAGCCTGACAAAGCCTGACCTCCTTGGTTTGAAGCCTGACAAAGCCTGACCTCCTTGGTTTGAAGCCTGACAAAGCCTGACCTCCTTGGTTTGAAGCCTGACAAAGCCTGACCTCCTTGGTTTGAAGCCTGACAAAGCCTGACCTCCTTGGTTTGAAGCCTGACAAAGCCTGACCTCCTTGGTTTGAAGCCTGACAAAGCCTGACCTCCTTGGTTTGAAGCCTGACAAAGCCTGACCTCCTTGGTTTGAAGCCTGACAAGCCTGACCTCCTTGGTTTGAAGCCTGACAAAGCCTGACCTCCTTGGTTTGAAGCCTGACAAAGCCTGACCTCCTTGGGTTTGAAGCCTGACAAAGCCTGACCTCCTTGGTTTGAAGCCTGACAAAGCCTGACCTCCTTGGTTTGAAGCCTGACAAAGCCTGACCTCCTTGGTTTGAAGCCTGACAAAGCCTGACCTCCTTGGTTTGAAGCCTGACAAAGCCTGACCTCCTTGGTTTGAAGCCTGACAAAGCCTGACCTCCTTGGTTTGAAGCCTGACAAAGCCTGACCTCCTTGGTTTGAAGCCTGACAAAGCCTGACCTCCTTGGTTTGAAGCCTGACAAGCCTGACCTCCTTGGTTTGAAGCCTGACAAAGCCTGACCTCCTTGGTTTGAAGCCTGACAAGCCTGACCTCCTTGGTTTGAAGCCTGACAAGCCTGACCTCCTTGGTTTGAAGCCTGACAAGCCTGACCTCCTTGGTTTGAAGCCTGACAAAGCCTGACCTCCTTGGTTTGAAGCCTGACAAAGCCTGACCTCCTTGGTTTGAAGCCTGACAAAGCTGATCCTGTTTGAAGCCTGACAAAGCCTGACCTCCTTGGTTTGAAGCCTGACAAAGCCTGACCTCCTTGGTTTGAAGCCTGACAAAGCCTGACCTCCTTGGTTTGAAGCCTGGCAAAGCCTGACCTCCTTGGTTTGAAGCCTGACAAAGCCTGACCTCCTTGGTTTGAAGCCTGACAAAGCCTGACCTCCTTGGTTTGAAGCCTGACAAGGCCTGACCTCCTTGGTTTGAAGCCTGACAAGGCCTGACCTCCTTGGTTTGAAGCCTGACAAAGGCCTGACCCTCCCCTTGGTTTGAAGCCTGACAAAGCCTGACCTCCTTGGTTTGAAGCCTGACAAAGCCTGACCTCCTTGGTTTGAAGGCCTGACAAAGCCTGACCTCCTTGGTTTGAAGCCTGACAAAGGCCTGACCTCCTTGGTTTGAAGCCTGACAAAGGCCTGACCTCCTTGGTTTGAAGCCTGACAAAGCCTGACCTCCTTGGTTTGAAGCCTGACAAGGCCTGACCTCCTTGGTTTGAAGCCTGACAAAGCCTGACCTCCTTGGTTTGAAGCCTGACAAAGCCTGACCTCCTTGGTTTGAAGCCTGACAAAGCCTGACCTCCTTGGTTTGAAGCCTGACAAAGCCTGACCTCCTTGGTTTGAAGCCTGACAAAGCCTGACCTCCTTGGTTTGAAGCCTGACAAAGCCTGACCTCCTTGGTTTGAAGCCTGACAAAGCCTGACCTCCTTGGTTTGAAGCCTGGCAAAGCCTGACCTCCTTGGTTTGAAGCCTGACAAAGCCTGACCTCCTTGGTTTGAAGCCTGGCAAAGCCTGACCTCCTTGGTTTGAAGCCTGACAAAGCCTGACCTCCTTGGTTTGAAGCCTGAAAGCTTGACCTCCTTGGTTTGAAGCCTGACAAAGCCTGACCTCCTTGGTTTGAAGCCTGACAAGGCCTGACCTCCTTGGTTTGAAGCCTGACAAAGCCTGACCTCCTTGGTTTGAAGCCTGACAAGGCCTGACCTCCTTGGTTTGAAGCCTGACAAAGCCTGACCTCCTTGGTTTGAAGCCTGACAAAGCCTGACCTCCTTGGTTTGAAGCCTGACAAAGCCTGACCTCCTTGGTTTGAAGCCTGACAAAGCCTGACCTCCTTGGTTTGAAGCCTGACAAAGCCTGACCTCCTTGGTTTGAAGCCTGACAAAGCCTGACCTCCTTGGTTTGAAGCCTGACAAAGCCTGACCTCCTTGGTTTGAAGCCTGACAAAGCCTGACCTCCTTGGTTTGAAGCCCTGACAAAGCCTGACCTCCTTG